TTTTAATAAGATCTTTACTTATCTAATCTAGTTAATTAGTTCTTAGATCCTTAGTAATAAATATATATTCTTAACTATAACCTTATTAAGTATTTAGTAATTTATATATATTTACTATTTTCTATCTAGCTTTAGGGCTAGTACTATTAGTAATCCCTACTAGCTTATTAATACTTAAATTATCTTTTTTTATAAGAGTTCTTCTATTTAGTAAAGGGTTTTCTTAAACTTCTCTAGTAATTATAGATAGATATTTATATTTATTAGCTTAGTATTACTAATATTAATTATATAATTAACTCTATAAATTAGTAGTATTCTAGGATTAAATTCCTCTTAGAATATATTCTTAAAGCTTATTATTTATTCCTTAGCTTAGATAGTATTTATAATTATTATCTCTCCTTTACTAACTTATAGAAGATATAATTATATTATAGTTTTCTTCTTCTATATTATCTACTTTAGTTACTTTATTATTATCTATTATACTAAGTTATCTTTATAATATTCTATCCTATATTAGAGGTCTATAAAATATATAATATATATTCTCCTCTTATACTATAGGGTTATCTAGCTTAAATACTAGTTAATTTATAGGTTAATACTCTTTAACTAATTATAACACAAAATAATATTATATTTACTAATATCTAGGACCTATAAATTAATAAGGTTAGTCTATTATCTACTCTATATAGATATTTTTATCTATTAGCTAGTACTTATTAATACTCTATTTAATAATTAGATAACTAAGGATATATCTCTCTTATAGTAAGAGAACTTTATAATAGCTAAATAATTAATAGCTACTTATAAAAGAAAAAAGTAACTAGCTCTATAACTAATAAGAGCTTTTAACTTAAGTAATTTTTTTTTTTTAGATTTTTATTAAATCATATATAAAGTTAATATCTATAATATTTAGATAAGCCTTAGTAATTTTAACCTCTTATAGACTAGATACTTTTAGCTATAATTAAGTATCTTTATATAATTCTTTCTCTTTATTTATAAATAGGTCTTATTAAATATCCTAGTATTTTAAAGCTTTCTTTATTTAGTTAATAAGTACTTCTAAATTTATTAATTTTACTTATTTTTTATATTTTTAAAGAATATAAATAAAAGTATCCTACTTTACTATAGTTAAAATATATTTTATTTTAGTAATATTATATCTTCTACTTAGATAAGCCCTTCCTTAGCTACTAGAAGCTAGTAATTATATTTAAGTCTATTAGATTACTTTTATAGTTATTAAGTTATAATCTTAACAATAGATTACTACTAAGTTATTAAATAATAATTAAACTATTCCTATAAAGAGTAAAATATTTAATTACTTTATTATATAATTAAGATTATATTTATTCTTTTATCTATCTCTTCCTAAGCTTAGGGTAACTCCTAATAATAAATTTCTATATAAGAAAAGCTTTATCTATTAATAAAGAGATCTATATAGCTATTTTATCTAGAGTTATTATATATAGTTAAACTAAGTATAATCCTTAAGTAAGTTATTTATATTCTTCTTATCTTTTATTATTAGTATTATACTTCTTAAAGTTTTTTAGAAGCTATATATAAAAGACTCTTATATTAGTAATTACCAATATAAGATTAATTTATATTTAGGTCTTTTTATCTTTCTATTACTTATAAATATATTTTATAAGCTTCTACTTAATAATAGTAAGATATTCTTAGTTAGAGAGAATTCTTTTTATTAATAAAGAGATATCTTTAAAGTACTTAATCCTTTTTTATTATTTTTAGATAGTATTCTTAGTATATATATCTTTATATTCTAGAATAGGGATAATATTTAAAATCTTAAAAATAGATTATACTTAATAATAGAGATTTATCTCTAATAGTCCTAGAGGTGCTATCTATCTACTATATTATTCTTAATAAAGGCTTTAGAATAGCTATTAATATTAGTAAGAGGGCTCCTTAAGCTATATATGATAGCTATAAAGCTATCATATATCTCTAGCTATCTCT